CTGTATTTAATGTTTTATAGAGTACATGGTTATTCTGGTCATTATCCTTTTTATTCCAAGTAGTTACTACCAACAAAATTCAGAGGTAAAAACTTCCAATTTCATTACTTTAAGTTTCTCGTTTCATGCCCTTTTATTGGGAAACTTATGGCCTTTGAATGGGTGTCATGACAGTTAGGACAAGTCCTGTGTTGGTGGTTTAGTCATTGTTCATTTATAGTGATAGATACACACACTCTACACACCTTTTGAAAATAAACCAGGGGACCAGCAGTTGGCGTAATGGCTACGTCGCTGGACTCCCATGTAGTTGACCTGTGATTCGAGTCCCGGACCCGGTGGCTTAAACGCGCACAGAGTGCGTGTGCATACGTGCCCAAGATCCCGAGATGTGAATGGAGGAGAAAGGATTGCGGTGTGACCATCCCCCCTGGGAGGTGATTTCTCGCTTTTTGTATCTCTGTCTCTCTCTGTTTTTCTGGGGAGAGCACGCGCCCTGTAACAAAAACCTCTCCAAAAAATAAATAAATAAAAGAGCCTCCATCTGTAGGTCTTTCTCAAGTGGCATCTGGAGGAAGTTCCTTAAGAGGCTTTTCCAGGCTCCATGTGTACTTCATTTTGTTTTTCCTGCTTTTACTCTGCCTCTCTCACAGAGTTGTTGGTCTTTATTTTAAATTTTAAATTTTAAATTGAAGAGATTCATAAAGGAGTTCTCACTCCCAAAGTGCTTTATTCTGAAGGTGCTGCCTCCCCCATCGCCGGAACGTTTGACAGTGAGCTTGTGCTGTCCGTCCTCTGTGTACCCCCTGCCTCCCAGTGCTCAACACACCTCGAATGTCGTAACGTCATGGCCACTTCATGGCAGCTTGGGGCAAGAAGAGTGGAAATAGCAGTAGGCAGGATTCGGCCTAGTTTCACATTCTGCTGCTGATAATGGCTCTGTCACCTTGGCCAGTCACCGCAGTTGCAAAACGGGCACATCGCCTTTTCTTCTCGCTGGAGACTTAAAGGGAACATGAGCTCGTGGGGCCATGTTACGAGCGTTAAGGAATGACAACTGGATATTCCAAGTGAATGTCTGATAACGGAGAAATAATAGTCCTTAGTTTTTGTTGTTGTTTGTTTGTTTGTTTGTTTGTTTTGGAGGGAATAAACCATATTTTAATACAAATTTCCTTTGACTGCTTTTTCCAAGGGAGGAAAACTGTCTTTTTGACCTAGTCATTCACTTGCTTGATCTGAGACTACTTTGCTCCAGTCAGGAGAGGACCTTGTTTAGGAAAACAGAATTGTCACAATTTTTTCCCAGATAAGTGTGTCAGTTTTTGTTACGGTTTTTATGATAAAGCTTTTCTTCCTAAGAATGTATACTTAATTACTTGTCGCTGCCCAAATCTAGCCTAGCCGTTAATTCACGTGGTAACAGATGGTAAAGCTAGATCACAGTCTTTAATAATAGGGAGATAGATCATCCTCTTAATAAGAAGGAAAAGGTTTACATACACTTTAGGCAGAACAGTTTCCATGCTAACAGTTGTGTAAAATACTTGTCCATGCTCTCTGGAATACTGGGGCTTTAGTTAAAGGCTACCTGGGTATTTTCAGCAAAGTAATTTCTATGCGTAGAAAAGTTTTTAGGATTCCCCTTCATGCTTCTGGTCCCTAATTTTTCAATCATCTTTCCTTGAGTTCTTTTGATTATTTAATCTCTTGCTAAAAATAGAATTAATCCAACCAAATTGGACGGGATCAGTTTTGTTTTCGTGTGTGTGTGTTTTCAGACAGGTCTTGCTGTGTTGCACTCTTCTTGCCTCTGACTCTCCAGGTACGCACCATCATGCTCAGCTTTTGTAGGGAATAGAACCAGGGTCTCTCCTGTGGCCTCAGCCTGGCCAGCATCTTTGTACTCTTATGTGGCTGGGCCTAAAGGGATAGTTTTGTTGTTTTTGTTTTTTGAGAGATTTTTGCTATAGGGTGCATGTACTCGCTGGAGAGACAGAAAGTGAGAAATCACCTCCCAGGGGGATGGCCACACCACAGTCTTTTCTCCTCTCGGGATCTTGGGCATGCACACACGTGCGCTGGTGTTTTTTGAACCACTGGACTACATGAGAGTCCAGTGATGTAACCATTAGGCCATCTGCTGGTCCCATAAAGGGATAGTTGTTTTTTTTTTTTTTTTTAAGATGTTTTTGCTGTTGGGTCCGTGTGCTCGCCAGACTGACAGAGTGGGTGTGTATGCTCGCCAGACTGACAGAGAGAGACAGAGAGATAGAAAGCAAGAAATCACCCCCCAGGGGGGATGGCCATGCCGCAATCCCTTCTCCTCCATTCTCCTCTTGGGATCTTGGGCATGCATGCACACGTGCCTGGCGTGAGTTTAAGCCACCGGGTCTGGGACTCGAACCATGGTTGACTTTACGTGGGAGTCCGGCAACATAGCCATTATGCTAACTGCTGGTCCCAAAGGGATGGTTTTTAACAAGCGTCAATTTTGCATGTTATGTAGACTACCATTTTGCATGTTATGTAGACTACCAATTTTTCAAAAAAATTTTACTTTATACATTGGTTTCCTAGAGTGTCTTTATGTGGTGTAGTTTTTAATTTTTAAATTTTGGTAAAATACTCATAACGTGGAAATGACGATTTTAAGTAATTTCAGGTGTGCGGTTCACTTGTTGTGCAGTCAGCACACTGTCTCCAGCTCTTTTTCATCATTTCAAACAGAATCTCTGTCCCTGTTAAACAGTAGCTCTCCTTTCCTTCCTCCTCCTATCCCCGGCAGTAACCATCCTATTTTCTGTCTCCCTGAATGTGACTAATTCTAGGTTCCTTATGTAAGTGAGATCATACAGGGTTTGTCCTTTTGGGACTGGGCTATTTCACTTAGCGTATATTATTAAGGTTCACCTGTGTTACAGCACGTATCAGAATTTTCTTCCTTTTTAAGACCAAATAATATTCCGTTTATGTATATATCTCGTTTTTTTTTCTTTATCTGTTGGTGGACATTTGGGTTGTTTCCACCTTTGAGTGGCGGTGAATAATGCTGCTGTGAACATGGGTGTATGAGTGTCTGTTCCAGTACTTGTTTTCAGTTCTGTTAGGTACATACCCAGAAGTAGAATTGTTGGGTCTTATGATTCTGTTTTACTTCTTAAAGAACTGTCATACTGTTTTCCGCAGCGGCTATACCATTTTACAGTACCAGGGGCAATGTACAGGGTTCTGCTTTCTCCTCAGCCTCACCAACAGTAATGTTACCTGTTTATGTATTGTAGTCTTATTTTTTTCTTTATTCACAAGAGAGTGAGTAAAGTCAAAATGAGGAGTCCTTGGGCAACAGGATAGTGGTGAAGTTCCCATGTCTGTTTTTTTTTCTTTTCTTTTCTTTCTTTCTTTTTTTTTTTTTTTTTTGCTGTAGGGCGTGTGTGCTTGCCAGAAAGACAGAGACAGAGAGACAGAAAGCAAGAAATCACCCCCCAGGGGGGATGGCCACGCCTCAATCCCTTCTCCTCCGTTCTCCTCTCAGGATCTTGGGCACGCACGCACACGTGCCCGGTGTGAGTTTAACCCACCAGGTCCGGGACTCGAACCGCGGTCAGCTACATGGGACTTCAGCAACATAGCCATTATGCTTACTGCTGGTCCCCTGTGTCTGCTCTTGACACATGCCTGTGGCACATGCCTGTGAGAATGAGGGAGAAAGAGAGATGAGCACCCTCCACAGGGTCTCAAGGACTGTTGTATCCTCCTGGTCCAGTGCTGTAGCCCATCAGGGCTTGAGCACTCGCCTGTGTGCCCGGCAGTTTGGGCTGATTAGGCCAGTAATTCGAACTACAGTTGCCATGTGGGATCTGGCTTCTCCTGTGCAGTGTATTGGGGAGTGGCTCCCCACCCTCTCTCTCTTTTTTTTTCTTTTTTTGTTCCTTCAGTTTTGCTATAGGGCACATCCACTCACCAGAGAGCAATCGACCCTACCCCCCACAGCGGGGGGGGGGGGGGCCATGCCTGCAATCCATTCTCCTCCCGGGGTTTTGTGCCTGAAACACGCACTCAGCGTGATTTTCAAGCCACCAGGTCCAGGACTCAAGCCCCAGTGGACTATGTGGGAGTCCAGCACCTTAACCAGTATCCCGCCTCCTGGCCCCAATACTCCTTAGATGTTACTTGATGTCCTGCATCCTCTTTCTTTCTTAGAAGTTCTCTTCCCCCAGGTTCGGTCTGCTTCACTCTCTTTTCCATCAATCTGTGCAGAGAAGAAGCAGAACTTCACATCTCTTTCTTGTGCTCCTGTGATAAGACCATCAGGAGTTGTAAAGTGCCTCTCCTGTTCTCCGTCTTCAAGAAATTTGGGGACCTGCAGTTAGCATAATGGCTATGTCGCTGGACTCCCATGTAGTTGACCGTGGTTTGAGTCCCGGACCCGGTGGCTTAAACTCACGCCAGGCGCGTGTGCGTGCGTACCCAAAATCCCGAGAGGAGAATGGAGGAGAAGGGATTGCGGTGTGACTATCCCCCTGGGGGGTGATTTCTCGCTTTCTGTCTCTCTCTCTTTCTGGCGAGCACACGCACCCTATAGCAAAAACCTCTTAAAAAAAATTTGGACTAATTCTGGGTGCCATCTGGATTTAATTTGAGTGTGGTGCTGACCTAACGTTATTGAAATAACACTAAATAGAAAGTTGGGGTAGATTCTCTATCTCACAGGGTCAGAGTGTGGAAGAAATAGAATAGTTTCTGAGCTTTGTTTTTCTCTGATACAAGACAACTGGAAATTAGGCAGTCTATGAAGGACCTTCGTGCTCCTACCCCCCACAGCTGGGGAGTGGCCATGCCTACAATCCATTCTCCTCCTGGGATTTTGGGCACTCAAACACGTACTCAGCGTGATTTTCAAGCCACCAGGTCCAGGACTCAAGCCCCAGTAAATGTATAACTAGAAGGACACTGTGGATTTCTCCCACTCACTTCCTTCTCATTCTCTTGCACAGGGATCATGGCCCAAGTAGCGATGGCCACCCTGCCCGTGGAAGATGAGGAGTCCTCAGAGAGCAGGATGGTGGTGACATTCCTCATGTCTGCTCTCGAGTCCATGGTGAGGTGTCTTCCGTGCTGTCCGATGTTCTCTAGTTCCCTAGAACTGGGTTTGTAGATAAGGTTGACTTGCTATAATATTATGGTGTTTTAGATTTGCTTTTTTTTTTTTGGGCCATGGGGGCCCATGTGCTCACTGGAGAGAGACGAGAGGAAAAGTGAGAAATCACCCGCTGGGGGTGGGGGTGGCCACGCCGCAATCCCTTCTCCATTATCTTCCTGGGATTTGGGGCATGCATGCACATGCACCCGGCGTAATTTTCAAGCCACTGAGTCCCGGGATTGACCTGGTTCAGGCCAGCTTGTGGAAGTCCAGTGCCTTAACCGCCACTCCACCTGCTGGCCCAGTTTTTTAGTTTTAATAATAGCTTTTGGGTTTGAATAACAGAGATTTAAGCCTTTCAGATCACATTTTATTATTGTATATTGTTCTTACCTAAATAATTTTTGTTTACACTTAATTTCAGTTTTTTATGCACCTTTATCTTAGGCAATTACTTATTCCTCAAGTGTTAACTTTGAATTCATATATATTTAGAGTTACTTAGAATAAGTTAGTATATTTGGTGCTGGTGTTTTATTGTGTATATATACACATTACAAGAATTTTGGGCCAGAAGAAAATATTTACTGTTTCATGTATATTCTTTATTTTATTCTGCTCATGCATTCACAATTGACTTTACTGCCACTTTTACTAAATGGTGTAGGGTGTTAGCTCAATAGCTCCCCTCCGTTTTTTTGTTTTGTTTTGTTTTTTTGTTTTTTTGTTTTTTTTAATTGCTGTAGGCAAGTGTTTGCTCACCACAGTGAGGGAGAGCAACAGAAAGTAAGAAAGCACCTCACTGTGGGGTAGGGCCGTGCTGCAGTCCCTTTTCCTCCATTGTCCTTTCAGGATTTTGGGCGCACACACATATCTGGTGGGTGTGTTTTCTAAGCTACCTAGTCTGGGACTTAAACCGCACAGTCAACAGTGTGGGATCCAGTTGCCTTACCTACCATGTCACTGGCTGGCCCAAGCTCTAGGGCTTTTTAAAAAGAAGAAAACCTACTGTATATATTTACAGCAAAATATTGAGTAATAGTCTTGCTGAAATTTTTATTTTTATATTGCTGTGACACACAGTTTGTTGTGTTTTTAGGGATATGTAGCCACAAATACAGTATAGTATTTGATTTAAAGTACATCAGGCTTAGGTATTTTCTAACAAATTAAAATTAAATATTCTAAGTAGGAAAACGCTATATATTTTTCCTGTCTTAAGTGATGACTAATATTAGCTAATGTTTAATCTTAACAGAGTTCAGTATGACATGGTTTGTAGATACTTTGTTTTCCCTATGGCATTTTGTTCTTTTCACTCTCTTAAAAACTTTTATTTTTAAAAAATAATTATTATTGAATTTTATTTATCATTATTATTATTATTATTTTATTTGCTACAGGGCATGTGTGCTCACCCGAGAAAAACAAAAAAGAGACAGAGACAGAGAAAGTGAGAAAGCAAGCCACCAGATCCGGGGCTCAATCTGTGGTTGGCCATGTGAGAGTCCAGCGCCCAAATTCCCACACCACCTGCTGGTTCCTTAAGAACTTTTAAATCATTTATCCTTAATGGAGGAAATTTTAGAATGGCTAGTAGTTATATACTGTTAGTTTATGAATGTTACATATTTGTGCCTTGTTATAAAACCAGCCAGAATGAACCTTTTGAGATTAAATGCTATTTTGTTATGTTAAAATAATTTTCTTAAATATAGTTCTCTATGTAGACAAGAGTATCAAAGGATTACATAAGATCCATTCTCTTCCTTTGAATGACTTTTTATTTATTCATTTTAATTAATTAATTAATTAAATTTATTTTAATTTGTTGTGAGTGACAGAGTGAGAGAGAGAGGGAGAGAAAGTAAAAGTAAGAAAGCAAGCTGCCAGGTTCAGGACTCGAACCGTGTTTGGCCATGTGGGAGTCCAGTGCCCTTAGCCATCACACCACCTGTGGCCCCATGACTTTAGTTTTCTCATCTTTGGCGTGGTCATTATTCCTGGCCCTTGTATCTTCCTCCCCATCAGGAGTAAGAGTATTCTTGAGTTCTCAGTCATATTACAAGGCACTGAGTGCTAGACGGGCTTTTCAGAGTGCTACAACAAGCCAAGGGCAGCCTCCTCCTTCCCGTGGCCCATAGATTTCATTGATCTAACCCTTGGATAGTACATAAATCTTACTTTGCTGTTTCATAAATACTGCCTTTGGTGACAGGGTTGTCCAACTAAGAGTGTGGATAGTGCAGCGAGAATGCACCCTCATTTGTCACAAGGTAAGTAGATAATAGCTCCTTCCAGGTGAGCAGCCACAGCAGCTATCAGGTACACGGAACGGAATTCCAGTGTACCATTGTTCTCACGCACGTGGTTCACACTGGGGATGGTTGTGGGCTCACCTCTAGCTTAGAAGTTCTCTGTTGTGGTTATGGTGGTTCAAAAGATTTCTGATCATTTGAGTAGCTATAAAATTATTCAAGGTAACAGTTTTAAAGAATGTTATGCAGAAGTTATTTCCATTTGAGAGATTAGTGGTTATTATACACATCAGATTAGAAGAAAGCTATAGTTATCAACAAATGAGTGAGAAATGGGCTGCTTGGCAGAAATTTTAAATAGACTTTAATCATGTGCCAGATTAAAAGTGAATAAAAATAAGTACATTAAGCCACGTTAAAAAGCCAAACAAAATATATGTAATTATTTAATTCCATAAACTGCTTTCCTATGCCTAAAATCAGTGAGATCTTTCTATGGGCGTCTAGAAAAGTGGGCAAAGGATACAATGACTTATAGAAAATTATAATACTTTCTCATTTTCACACTAATGAGTGGAGTATTATTATGATACTAAGATAACATTTTGTAAAAGTTTCCGGGAAAGTTGCACAGTAACATTTGCTAGGATATTGTGAGCCTTCTTATAAAGCAAATTTGGGTAGGTTTTGAGATCCCTCAAAATACTCGCTTTCCAAAGTTGATTTTTTCTTTACCCTGTTTTTTATGTCTCTGACTCAAGAAAGTCATTCAAAATGCACATGAATGTTTTGTTCCCAGATTATTACTGTGCAATTATTTTTAGGAAGGAAAATTGGAATCACCAACCTTTTTACTAATGTTAGTGTACTGAGTTATCCATAAAATGAAACATTCTATGCTCTTTATAGTCTTTTTTTTTTTTTTTTTTTGAGAGGGAAACCAGATCACTGTATAAAGTTTTTTTTTTTTTTTAAGAATTATTTAATTTTATTTATTCATTTATTTGTTTTAATTTGACCAGAGAGAGATACAGATGGGGCAGGGTGAGGGGAAGCCACCAGGCCCAGGACTCGAACTGCAGTAGGCCATGTGGGAGTGTCTAGTGCCTTAACCACCACCCCACCTGCTGCTCCCTGTATAAAGTTTTTGAAGAGTATTTAATTTCACAAGGATATACAAGGGGATTTTCCAAAAATTAATGGAAAATGTGTATTATGAAAAACCTGTGCATAGATTTCATTATTTTTTGCATCAAAATAAACTTGTACTTTAACTTTTTCACCAACTTTTAAAGTCATCTTGTTCTTAGTAAAAGTCAACGTGCAGTAGACTCACCTAAAGGTGATTCCAGTTGCGCATACATTAGAGAAGTCACATTGGGAGGTAGGAGTATGTAGTGCATGTTCCAGTTTGGGTTTCAGACCTGCCTTTCAGGACTGACGACACTAGTTCCCCAGCTGCTGTGAGTGGTAAAGTGACCTTGCTCAGGCTTCACCCCTTTTCTGCAAAGGGCACCCCAACCCTGTTCTTTTGTGCCTCTGGTGCAGCCGTTCAGTATTCAGACGTCCAGTTGTGTCTCCCTCACACCTCACAGGTATCGTAGGTTATTGAGAGTACTTTCCAGCAAGCCGCAATGCAAATCTGAGTCTGTTTTCTTGAGGAATCTGATGTATGACACATAGCAGGGATTTCTGGGGCGGGTTTTTCTTAAAATTTAAATCTATTTTCTTTTGTATAAAATGAGGCACAAAAACTATTGAGAAGGAAATGATACCAGTTAAAAAAAAATGTGGGGGGGACTCTGTTCTGTATATGAGTAAAGGCCAGATATGGGAATTTTACCTAATTTCAGAGTAGTATTAAGAAGGTTTTAAATGTTAAGTTTTTAAAAATTTATTCAGCATAAATGGTGCTTTTGGACATCCATATATAAAATAATGTTTGCTATTTGTATTTCAGTGTAAAGAACTGGCCAAGTCCAAGGCAGAAGTGGCCTGCATTGCAGTGTATGAAACAGATGTGTTTGTCGTCGGAACCGAGAGAGGACGTGCTTTTGTTAATACCAGGAAGGATTTTCAAAAAGACTTCGTAAAATACTGTGAGCATTGCATTTTTATCATTTGTGTTTCACAAGTTACTTATTTATTTAAGAGATTTTTGCCTCAGAGCGTGTGTGCTCACCAGAAAGAAAGTGGGAGAGACAGAGACAGTGAGAGGGAAAGTGAGAGATTAGCCCCTGGGATGATGACCATGCTGCAATCTCTTCTCCTCCATTTTCCTCCCAGGATCTTGGGCACACACGCACACACGCCTGGCATGCTTTTGAAGCTACTGAGTCTGGGACTTGAACCACAGTTAGACATGTGGGAGTCCAGTGATGTAACTACTATGCCATCTGCTGGCCCCAGTGTGTTTCATAAATTTCGAATCTAAATATTTGCAGGTAAGGCATGTCATATTTTTGGGCTGGCCTTGTTGGAAGGCAGATCCCACACCAACAGAGGTTTGGGTCCTAGCCCTGGCAGTCCGTAAAACATTTTGGGCTGGTGTGTGCGTGTGTGTGTGTGTGTGTGTGTGTGTACACACGTTGCACACCCCCAAGATCCTTATAACATGGAGAAACTGAGAAAGGCTTGCAGTGTTAACCTTGCTCCATTGGAGGGTGCTTTCTCCTTTCCTTCTTCTTCTCCCTTTCTCTGTCTCTGGTGAACACATGCATCCTCTGGTAAATTAAAAAAAAAAAAAATAGTTACCCTTTAGCCCTCATCCTTTCTTTTTTCTTTTTTTTTTTAAGGAGAGATTTTTGCTGTAGGGTGTGTTTGCTTGACAGAGAGACAAAGACAGAAAGTGAGAAATCACACACCATCTCCGCCCCCCCCCCCCCCCCACCCCAGAGGGGATGGTCATGCTGCAGTCCCTTCTCCTCCAGTCTCCTCTTGGGATCTTGGGCACTCATGCACAGGTGCTCGGCGTGTGTTTTAAGCCGCCAAGTCTAGGCCTCAAACCGCAGTCAAATATGTGGGAGTCCAGAGGTATAACTATTATACCCTTGTTTTAAGCCGCCAAGTCTAGACCTTAAACCGCAGTCAAATACGTGGGAGTCCAGAGGTATAACTATTACGCCCTATTTATTATTATTTTTACATTTGACCAGAGAAAGACAGATAGGGAAAGTGAGAAAGCAAGCCACCAGGTCCAAGACGTGAACCATGGTCTGTCATGTGTGAGTCGAATGCCTCAACCACTACACCATCTGCTGGTCTACATCTTTCTGTTTTTATAACCATCTTAAGTGTTAGAATATAAGAAAAAATATCCTGTAGTAAGCCAAACGCTAAGATACTGGATACAGACCTAGTATATTACTAATATTTTACAGGTGTTGAAGAAGAAGAAAAGGCTGCAGAGATGCATAAGATGAAATCTACAACCCAGGCGAATCGGATGAGTGTCGATGCTGTAGAAATCGAAACTCTCAGAAAAACGGTTGAAGACTATTTCTGCTTTTGCTATGGTAAAAACAACACATTTCAGATTTCTAAAAGATACATTACATAATTGAATTTTCTAAAGGGCTTAACAATCACAGCACACTCCTCCACAGATTGATTAGGTTATCTCAGATATGGGGTTGCCATTCAAAATCACCTTCCTTCCATTTCCATTTTGAAGGAACCTGGAAGCAAAAGTAGCTATTAGAACTGTTTTACTGATCTCTAGTTCCTTGCAAAACCATTTTTCATTAATTCAACCACATGTTAAAACAAAACTCCTTTAAAAATAATCTAATGGGGAGGATATGGTTACACTGTAGGGTTATATTCAACTCTGTGGAATGGAGTTTCTAACATTTGTGGGTTCCATACCTGATACAAGCTGACAGCATATACCCATTCGTGAATAAAGGTTGTGCTTACCTGCTAAGTTTATTTATTTTAAGAATTATTTATTTAATTTCATTTATTATTATTATTATTATTTCTTAATTTGCTACAGGCTACATCCACTCATGAGAGAGAGAGAAAAAAAGGAAAAATGAGAAAGCAAGCTGCCAGCTCCGGGACTCGAACTGCGGTCAACCATGTTAGAGTTCAGTGCTTTAACCACCATGCCATCTACCAGCCCCTACCTGCTAAGTGTTTAATGAGAATGTTAGTTAAAAGTTTCCTGATACTTTATGGTAATAGTTGAAATTACCAACCTTTCATATTCTGAGGCTGATTTGTATATGTAACAAGATGTCTTATACCAAGATAGGACCATCTTAAAGAAAGAATTGTAGCTAGCCTCGTGGCCTAGTGGTTAAAAGAACTGGATCCCACATGGTCAGATGCATGGTTTGAGTCCTGGACCTGGTGACTTGAGAAACACACCAGGAGCATATATGTGTATATGCCCCAAATCACTACAAGATGGATAAGGGATTGTGGCATGACCACATCCGGTCAGG